ATGTGTATAAGAGACAGGTACCTGCCCTTCCGGGCGGTAGAGAGCGAGGCCCGGTGGATGGGCGTGAGCGCGACGCCTCCTGGCCCGGCAGCTGCAGCCGAGCTCCGTGCGGGAGCAGCCCCGGGCACTGCGGGCTGCAGGAGCGGCCGAAGGAGAGAGGCTTTCATGGAGCATGATGAAGCGGCTCCTGAGAGCTGCTGCTCGGTATTGCCGCGTTCCCGGCGGGTTTTCAATTGATATATGCCACCTTACTCCTTTGATTTTTCCGGCTGATGATTGGCGGTAGGTGGGTTTGTGGCTGTCCCCACATAGCGTCTCTGCTGAGCCATTCGTTTGGGGGTTTGAGTTGTCAGTGAGTGCAGTGGTAACGTGCTGAAGAAGAGGAGGTAATTTGCGTGCTGGGATTGCAGTAGTGGTGTGGATTTGACCTGGCATTCTAGTACTAATCTGTAAATGGTGGTGGCTGGGTGTTTGTTCTTAGTAAAATGGGTTCTCAAACTTCCCTTCACCACGGACCCCCTTTAAATCCCTTTTATGGCTGCGGACCATCAAGATTTAAAGCGCTAGAGTGCTTTCAGATATTTATTTGAATTTTCTCCTGAAAGGTCTTCAAATTTGGAGAGAAGGGGGAATAAGTTAATCTGTTAATGCATGCCTATTATAATACCTTTATTGCAGTGACTCTATGAATTTAAAATAAAAGCAACAACATTCTTCTTGCTCAAATTCCCCATTTTGTGGTATATTAATGTGCTAATTCTGAATTTGATGTCAATTTTTACATTAAAATTTGATAAAAAACTTTTACAACTCTTTTCATCTCCCCCCTTCTTTGTGTTCAGTTACCATATATTTGTGTTTATGGGTCCAGGGCCACCACTTGGAGGAACAGACTTCAGCCCCACTGTAGCCCTGAAAAGGGCTGTTGGGTTAAGAAAATATTTATAAGAGAAAAATAGTTTTCTCTAGTTAAAGTGGATCCCACCAACCAAACTAGCACCAAATATCCTAGCATGTTAGGGCAGGTGTGGAGGCAGGGAGGCTTGAGTATGAGAAGAACACTGAGGGGAGGGAGCTGTGGGAAAAGGAGGCTCAGTGCCTGCCACGGGCCAGACCAAATGTTTCCTGGCTGGACTTTCTCCACCCCTGCTTTAAGCTATTGCAGACCCCCTGTGGTGACGACATGCCCCCCCTAGTCGCCAGTGGACCGCAGGTTGAAAACCACTGGTTAGGCTGTCAGCTGGTGTGTTACCTTGTTGTCAGCCCTACCATATCAAATGACAGGCCTATGCTGCTGCTTGGGAAAGGGGAGATGCTTAATTCCTCCATCTTTCAATGGCATCTCGGGCAGATTGCTTAATCTTTCTGTAACGTATAGTGGAGAATAATTGCACCTTTGTAGGTATGAAGGTTATCACTAGGGTAGTGATAACTGAGATCAATACACACAAGGATGCTAGTAACTTAGTCCTAAGTGTAAATAAGTGTTTTGGTTTTAATGTTTATGTTTTTGTTTGGTCAGAGCTGAACATCATTACAACAATGAATGAAATGCTGTCAGCAGCACTGCGAATCTGTCAGTTTAATGAGTTCGTGTTTGGAATGGAACATAGGAACTATGAGGGAAAGTTAGTAGTCATCCTAGCAAAACAAGGAACATTGTTTTCATAAAAGCCATTACTTTTTTTTGATCTTTCTATTAAAAAAAAAAACAAAAAACAAAAAAACAAACCTTGCATTAAGTTAGATTTCTTTACCAGCTTTCTGTGCCCACCCCCCCCAGCATGCCTTTATGTAATATTTTGGTGACTGTTAAACAAAGTAAAACTAACTCAAAGCTCTTTAATTATCTGATTTGGAACTTGTATATGGATAAAGCTGTAAACTTGTAACTTTCTAGAACTGACGGATTCTTGGTCTTTTGCTTACGTAGCTGTGCAAGTGGATTTTCTGTTCTTGCTTTGTATAGTCTCAGTTTTTAAAAAATTGAGTGAGGTTACAAAGTTTTTGTAAAATCAGTAGTTCTGCTTATTTAAAATTACTTATTTAATATTGAAATTGTGAAGAAGGCACTTGTTCAGTGTCACAGATACTGGATTTACATTACTCTCCAGAGTAGTAACATTGCTGGGTTATTTTAACTGTAAAACTGCCCTTTGTGTACTTTGCTTATCTTGAACTCCTATTAAAAATAGTCTTGATTTTTAGGAAGGTCTCACAAAGTTTGCCTGAAAATATTAGATGGGGTTTTTAGCTTTATATGCTGTGACAGTTCTTTCATCTCTGATAGAAGCTGGCCAGAGTTTCCTGGTAGGTAGCCCAAAACAGCATCCAGTCAAAATGTGCTTTGTTTGCTTTCCCTCTGCTTAGACAGCGGGTGTGCTTATATCAGCTAAGCTTGCTCTGGGATTCCGTTGCCAGCCAACCCAGAACAGGTCCTGTATCGGGATCAATATGATCAGTT